AGACTCGCTTGAACCCAGGAGTTGGAGGTTGCTGTGAGCTATGCCACGGCACTCTACCCAGGGGGACAGCTTGAGGCTCTGTCTCAAAACAAACAAACAAACAAACAAAAATAATGAATTAGTTAATTAAGGAAGATAAATAAAAATCAAATTCAAAGGTACTACTTTCCTCCTGCTGTTCTTTGCTAAAGGGAAAGTTAGCTACCTCAGCTATAAAAAAACTCATTACCAAAAAAAAAAAAAAAAATTACATATAAGCAGCAATAGCACCTCTAACTTGGATTAACCAGACAGTGTATCTTCTGTTGCAACGTGGAACACATGAGTATGGTGTGTGATAATATATTTTTTGAGACAGAGTCTCACTCTGTTGCTGTGGGTAGAATGCTGTGGCATCACAGCTCCCAGCAACCTCAAACTCTTGGGCTCAAGTGATCCTCTTGCCTCAACCTCCCAAGTAGCTGGGACTATAGGTGCCCACCATAATACACGTCTATTTTTAGAGATGGAGTCTTGCTGTTGCTCAGGCTGGTCTCAAACTCCTGAGCACAAGCCATCTGTCCACCTTGGCCTCCCAGAGTGCTAGGATTACAGACCTGAGCCACGGTACCTGGGCCACACTCATGATTTTAAAATAAAATCCAATGAGTTTTAGACAACCTTCCACTTTGTAAGAGGTTTTGAGAATAAGCTAAATAACCAACAAGTACCTACGCACATCTAAAGGAGGGGAAATTCTCTGTGATCACCAGACGTTCTTCTCAACAGGTCCCCGAAAGGGACCAGAGCTCCTTGGAAAAATTCCAGGCTGTGTCATGAAAAGATTTTTTTTTTTTTTTTAAGACAGAGCCTCACTCTGGTACTCTCAGTAGAGAGCCATGGCGTCATAGCTCACAGCAACCTCAACTTCTTCGGCTCAAGTGATCATTTTTTTTCCTCAGTTTTTCTAGTTTTAGTAGAGACAGGGTCTTGCTCTTGCTCAGGCTGGTCTAGAATTCCTGAGCTTAAGCAATCTACCCGCCTTTGCCTCTCAGAGTGCTAGGATTACAGGTGTGAGCCACCGCACCTGGCCCACGAAAAGTTTGAGGAACATTTTGTTGTGACAGAAAGGAGGTACTTGAAAGCTGACAGAGCTATGACAAAAGGACACAAGAGCCAGCTTGAAGGGCTCTCACTGGCCAAGCTTACAAGCATAAGAAATACTGATATTAATGGGTCACAACAACAGTCCTCAATCTTCTTTGCACTGGAGAACAGTTTTGTGGAAGACAATTTTTCCATGGATGGCAGCAAGAGTTGAGGGATAGTTTTGTAATAAATCGATTATCGCAAACAATTGATTTATTGTCGTCTCCATGCAATCAAAGCTCTCTGCTAATGATAATCTGTATTTGCAGCCACAGCCCATCACTAGCATCACTGCTTTGTTCCACCTCAGATCAAACTGAAGTCCAGAAAGCTAAGCAAAAATCTGTATTAAGGTAGCAGACCAAGTCAGAACCAGGGCATAACATGCAAAGTCCTATCTTTTTTTTTTAATTAAATGTTAGCTGTGTACATTAATGCAATCATGGGGTACAGTGTGGTATTTTCATATACAATTTGAGCAAAGTCCTATCTTGATGTGCCTTTTACTATGCTATGCTGAACATTAACCTGGAGTTCTTTTTTTCTCCCCATTACTTTTTCTGTTCAAACATTACTAGATTTTTGGATAAAATCTGTAGCTGTACTAAGCCTCTCATTCTTCAGAGACTCAGGAAAAGCCTTTGCTTTGGTGACAATGTCACCGACTCTGCCTACTTCTGTAACAGCTTTGATAATGAGTCAATGTTCATGTCAGACCTCAGCAACTAAGGTAGCTTAAAAACCAAAACCAAAACCAAACCACCTTGAGAAGTGAACATTTCAGAGAAGGTTTGAAGAAAAACCAAGAATCCCATTATTTTTATCTGAAGCATGCTTCCTTTTTTTTTTTT